AGCTGTGGGTGTCTGCCTATGCTTCCATCAACCACTGGATGAATGCTCTAGGATAGAATATAAGGTAGTCATCAGTGTGAGGGCAATCTGGCTGCTACATCTGTCACCTCATGGATCGCCAGGTTGATTGGTCTGATCTAGCAGCTAGGCAGGTGTCTCCTTTCTCCCTCACGGCTACATGCTCAGTCAAAGAGAACGACATTCCCCGAATAGAGGAGGACAGGTCTTTGGTCAAGGGTATATGAGTAGCTACGCTCCCCTGCTAGAACCTCCAAACAAACTATCTTGATGGTTTTAATAAGAAGTAAATAAAAGATTTCATGTTATAGAATCCCTCTCATTAGATCAATTTTGGAAAAACAACTCAGTGCTACAAATGTATTTAGTGACTAGTCATGTCATGGTGAATATGTGTGCTTACATGTATTCTCTTTTACAAGAAAAAGTAATTTGCTAACGCACGGTTCCATGCTCAAAAAGAAAATAATTTGCCTAGATACAAGCCAAAGTTACAGAATTAAGGATCCCTACATTTTTTCTGCATAGGCTGCATATGTTCTGGCTAAAACTACTTTTCAACAACTAAACCCACTGTCAGCCTTGGAAATCAGGAACAGGATATGAGTCAGGTGGGATGCCATCCATTCTAGAAAGTTTGGAGCCAGCATATTTTTCAGAAGACTCAAAAGCATTGGCATGGAAACCCATGCCATTTCTGTGTTCTTAGTTTTTTGTTTGTTTTGTTTTTTTTTTGTGGAAACCCATGCCATTTCTGTGTTCTTAGTTTTTTGTTTGTTTTGTTTTGTTTTTGTTGTTGTTATTGGGTTTTTTTTCGAGACAGGGTTTCTCTGTGTAGCTTTGGAGCCTATCCTGGCACTCGCTCTGGAGACCAGGCTGGCCTCAAACTCGCAGAGATTCCCCTGCCTCTGCCTCCCGAGTGCTGGGATTAAAGGCGTGTGCCACCAACGCCCGGCTATCTGTGTTCTTAGTTTAAACCAAATCATCCCAATTATTTTCTTCATTTTGCTAGCAACTAAAGGAAAGTATTGTATTATACCACATCAAGGTTCCACTTCCTATGGCCATGTCTTCCATATTTGAAAACATTCACCTTTTCATATTTTCAGGTATTTCTACACACTAACTTCAAAATAAAGCCAGAAAATAGCGTTAATAACCCGAAAAGAATTTTTAGGCATGTTCATGAGAATCAGTTTGGAGTAGAATCACGTAGAATGGCTAATGTTAAGGAATTGGCATGAATTCCCTTAACTCCTAGCAATATATTGTTTGAGCAGGCAACAGAGTCAGTTAAGTGGGGATTATAACTGGCAAAATTCCAAGTAGGCACAGTTGACACTCAGTGTGCATTTTTTTAGCAGTAAATGAAGAAAAAAAATGTTAGTTAGCAGGCTTGTCATGAATTGTAATTAGAAACTCTGGAGTTGCCTTTTGTAATATAGCTACATAGTGTATTATTAGACAAACTGTAAATATTGGTATCTTACTGGTCTGGCTAATGAAAACAAAGTGTGTCAGTTATTTTTAAACTTGTACTTTTAAATTGATATGTTTTTACCATTATTTATGGGGCCCTGTATTAAAATTCAATTGACATATATAGCATGTAATGATCAAGTTGTGAAATTAGCATTTTTATATTCTTCTTATGTGTTGAGAATCAGTGACAGTTATTGCAAATAGCCAGAACATTTTCAAATTGGCATTTGTCATTCAAATCTGTTCGAACTGTAGTTGTGAAGGAGGTCAGCTAAACCTCACCCCTGGTCATTAGTTGAGTTCAAGAAAATTTACATTGTCTCTCATCCACCATGGGTCAGCAGACCATCTGAACTGTGTGTTTCTTCTGGCACATAACCCAAGAAGGCAAATGCAAAAGCTCATAAGCACTCTAAGCCTCTCTGTACACACATCTGTGAATACCAAAATAGGTCTCATAACCAAGTCTACGTGCTTGGATCATGGAAGAGCTCTCTTCACAGCCTTTGATCACTGTATCACTGTGTGTATACTGTGCCTTGCTGTCCTATGAGCAAACCAACCACACTGACCATTCAGCAGCTTTGGAGTTGCTCTTCCTTTGTCTCTTACTCTATTTTCCCATGTATCTGCATGGTTCAAACCTTCAAGTCTTAGGCTCAGTTGCATATCACCCTTTTCTCAAAGTGTTCATCACTCCTTTACACAGTTGCAAAATTGATGAGTGCCTCCAAAAGAGGGTGTTGGAACCCCCTGGAGCTATAGTTACAGATGGTTGTGAGCTACTAATGTGGGTGCCTAGAACTAAACTCAGGTCCTCTGACAGAACTCTTAACTGCTAAACCATCTCTCCAGCCCTTGAATTTTTTTGTAAAGGCCTTAAAAAGGAAACCTGGACCAATACCTAACAATAAAATTCTAGTACTTTATTCTTAAAATATTTATGAGCATATATTAATTATATGGTGATAAGTTTTACTATGATTCTAGTACTTTATTCTTAAAATATTTATGAGCATATATTAATTATATGGTGATAAGTTTTATTATGATATATATATATATATATGAATAAAGTATTTTGATCATATTCAGCATCATTCTTTTCTTGTATTTCATTCTACCTCCTGCTCTTCCACTTCCTTCTTCAAGTCAGTGGTGTTACATTCAGGTTTCACTTAACTGTTTCAACTTTTTTCAGTATAATCTGATACAGAATATATTAGGTGCTAAAAATTCTTCAGTTAGCCTATTGCCTGATTTCCATTCTTACAAAGAGGTTAGTTAAGCCATCTTGAAAACTCTAGAGAATATTAAAAACTATTTGAGGTAACAGAATACACTTGTTTATATACAATTTAGGATTTGTTAGGTGCTCTAAAAATATTCTGGTGATATATTATTTGTGATTTATTAAAGCTTGCCCTAGGATTCAGAAAGCAACGTCATCCACAAGCTATAGAGGTCAGGCAGTGGCGGCATATACCTTTAATACCAGGACTCAGGAGTAAGAGGTAGATGGATCTCTGTTAGTTCAAGGTCGCCATGGCCTACACAAGAGTGAGAGTAACAGAGCTCATACCTTTGACCCCAGCACCTGGGATCACGCACCTTTAATCCCAGCATTAGGAAGGTATATAAAACAGGACAGGATCTTGGAGCTGACATTCATTGAGAATAAGAAGATAGTGAAGTCTCAGGATTCTTCAGCCACTCTGAGGAGAAATTATAGTCTGAGGTTTGGTGGAGCCGGGATTGCCTTTCAGTCTGAGCTAAAGTGAGAGTTAGTGCCTGGCTGCTTTGCTGTTCTGATATTTAACTTGAAGCTTTCACCCCAATATCTGTCTCTGGGTCTTTTATCTATCATGTTAGAAAATAATAGAATGGTTATTAGATCAATACCTGAGTGCATTCATAGCACACCACATTTAAATCCAAATACCTCTACAACTGTTTAAATGGATACAATTATGACTGTCATAAAAACGTACTATTAAAAACAAGCCAATTTTGCATTTGAACTTAGAAACTCTTTTTTGAGACAGGTGATAGTTTATCTGTAAAGATGAACTTAGCTGACACCATTAGCTTATACTTTATAGTTTGATCCTTGAAGTCATTCAGGATCACTACTGCCAATCACATCATTGAACTGTTCCAGGGTCTTAACACAGTACAATGAAGTTCCTGGAACTCAGATATGATGTAATTAAACTGTCAGATATATTGACACCAATGCTGAATGTTTCTGCTCGTTCTGATTTAATCTGTAAGACATACTGTCATGAACATGGACTTGCTGCCATTAAAAATGCTTCACCTTTCCCAGCTCAACAAAAATTTGCATCAGTAATGGAGCAAAAAGATGTAATTGGCCCTGCAATTGGTCAGGGTTGTGTTTCTTCTGGTACTATTTTATTCATGCCATCTTCACAAGAATGTAAGCATTTAAAATGCAATAATAAATAAACTAGAAATACTAAATGCCATTTATCATTTCTGAAGATAAAAACTTCAAAGTGTTGTGCATATGTATGTCTATGTATATTTTCACACATGTGTGCATGTGTGCAGAGAGAAGAGAGGAAGAAAAGAGGAATCTAGTATCTTGTTTTACTGCTTTGTGTGGCATCCATTCTTTACCTTGTCTTTCCTGTACTTAGGATTTCAAAGAGGATTGCTTTGGCATGAGTCTCTCAGAATCAGATGCTTTGTATCCACCCCAGCTTCTTAACCCTCCATTCTAGGAATAACATGCAGGCTCCTGACCACCTATAGTATGATTTTGTCTTAGTAAATGATCTTTCTGCTCATGCTTTAAAAATAAGGTTGAAAATACAGGAATGAATGCAGGATTATAAACTTAGCTGAACATCCAAGTGTGGCATGGACCAACAGAAATGAAAAGAATATGTAAATCATTTAATCACCACCTCCCTAATCATTTCCAAGTCACTGGTGAACCTGAGCTGTCCTTAAGCCCATTCATTATTTCTGACTTGCTTGAAGAAGGCCTTGCTTTCAATAGATGTCATGATGTACTTAACAAATAGAGTATTTCCATGATTGGGAGATTGATTATCATGAAAAACAACTTTCAGAGAACACTCAGAATTCAAATTAGTTTGCTTTGCATCTAAGAAAATTTCCTGTTTCTTAAGATGTTGTTTGAGACAATGTTCCACACACTACCTGCAATGAATTCCCAATTCAAAAATGATACTGCAGTTCCAAGTAACAAATAAAGTGCATAACTCCTCAGCATTCTCTGTCTACTGTCCCTACAAGAATGGTAACATAGGTAAATCACCATGTGGGTTTCCACACATTAAGGAAGTAGTCCCTGATAATCAAACTTGAGGAGCTACTTAAGGATTTGTTTGTTACTTATGAACATGTAAAATGAACTTACAGTTGTTTGTAAAATGCTATAGCGGTCCTTTCCTGTCTTTGCATTTGGCAAAAGTATAATGGCTATTCCTTATCTTTCTTTCACTAAGGCGAGGAAGATCTTCTGAGTCCTCCCCAGGATACAAGCACAGGATTAGAAGAAGTGATGGAGCAACTCAACAACTCCTTCCCTAGTTCAAGAGGTAAGGACCTATACCTACGAGGGACTCAGACCTCACCATTCTAACCAACACATGTTTTTGTCTACTGAAGGCCAACCTGTGCTGGCAGGATGCCAATTTGGTTTCATCAATGAAATTTTATTTGTAGTATAAATTTCTGGCTTGGTGTATTTTGAGTTCAAATACCTGTGAGGATAAAATGTTTCTAGAAGGAAGAATTCCATCTTGTACTTATAAAGTCTTTTATGTGGTTCACATGTTGGTTTGGAGAGCTAATTATGCGGTACCTTTTATTTAAGAGCAGTTACTATCTATATGACTTTCACAGATGAGAAAATGACTGCTGTATGGTGCCTTTGCCAGGGATGTAAGGCTACAGTACAACAAACAGTGAAGCCTAGAAAATGCCTACTAAGTGATAGTGATGGGGATGCTGGCTTGCAATCTGATGCCCTTTGTGTTTGAAAAGTGTATCACAACCCATCATTTCAATATAGGGATAATTAGATCTCCATAGGTAAGGTTATCAGCTTTTTACTTACTTTCAAAGAAAGACATTTTTTTCTCTATTTCATTGACCTTGCACATTTTTGTGCCACATACAAAAACAGGACTTTAGCGCTCAAATTTTTCCCAAAAGCCTATATGAACCACAAATAGCTTACTTCATCCAAAGAGATATTTTACTGTTCTTGTTATGGTTTATTACCTGACACAGTCACTGAACAACCCCCTATCAACCTATAAAAAAACAGTTAAGGTCACCTGTGAGCTGACAGAAAGAAAGCCTATTGAAGCAGAAAGGCAGAAACAGAAATCCTTGTAGCCAGTGATTAGCACCCTAATGGGCAGCTTAGGAAGGGAGGGGTGGGGGAAAATCTGATGGTTTTGTTTGTCTCCATAAGGGCAATAAGGAGGGGGTTTTGAGTAGTGTGTTTCCCTATCTTTTTGTTCAGAGTTAGCTAACAATGACCATTTCCTTGCTATTTGATGTGTGAGTGAACGTTGTGCAGTGCACATTAAAAGCAATAATGTTCTGGTAGAGTGTTGCTAAGGAACCATCAAGAAAACTAATTTTAAATGTCTGTACCAGCCATCTTTTCACTGCTGAGCACCACTGTTTGATTTTTAACAGAGGAAACTCTTACCTGTCTTCCACTAACCCCTTGCCCCAAGCCCATCCTAACTCTATTAGGTATCTCCTCTGCTTAGATCTTATTATTTAGAGCTTGAGAACGAAATCCTTTGTATTGGCTGGCTGCACCCCACTTCTACAGTCCTTTCAGGTAGACTAAGTGTAGAAGGAGCTTCCTGAGACATTAAGACTATGCCGTCTCTATTGTGACATTTGCAGCTCACATGCGTAATGTAACATGTACTAGTGTGGTTTCGGTTTACTTGTTTGGGCCCTTGGGAAACATAGTTCAGGCCCCCTGGATAATGTTATTAAATTAGTACTTAAGGAAGAGTGTGATACCCTAAATACTGATCAGAATGCTCTAACATGGGAGAAAGAGTCCTTATCTGAAATTTGTTCCATTGACTAACTTCTTACTCAATAGTCTGGTGGCTTGAGAAAATTAACTCATTCTTAAAAAGAAAACAAAAAAACACTACATTGTAAGAGAGTAAATAGCTAGTCTCAGAGTATTTAATTAGATGTCTCTCTCTCTCTCTCTCTCTCTCTCTCTCTCTCTCTCTCTCTGTGTGTGTGTGTGTGTGTGTGTGTGTGTGTGTGTGTGTTTTGTATGAATATATATGTGCCTATGCCTGGAGGTGAGAGGCTGGCATCGGTTGTCTTCCTCTATCTCTTTGCATTTTAGTTTTTGAGACAGGTTTTCTTGCCAAAGTGGACTCATCATTTTAGCTAGACTAGCTGGCAAGCAAGCCCTCCGGGTCTAACTATCTAACCTGCCTCCCCCAGTACTAGGGTTATAGGTACTCACTTTTATATGGGTGTTAGGAACCCAAACTCAGGTCTTCATTCAGCAAGCATTGTACCCACTGAACTGACTCCCCAGCCCTTTGGCTGGGTTTTCTGTGATGCTATGATCTTAGTATTTTTTGTTTGCTCCCTGCTAACTTGAGCATTACTACAGAACATCAGTCATTGGAATAGTTTATTTGTAACTAAAAATATTTAATATTTATAACTGGAAGAGCAGTGTGTGTGTGTGTGTGCGCGTGCGCGCGCGCGCTTGCTAAAAATATTTAATATTTATAACTGGAAGAGCAGTGTGTGTGTGTGTGTGTGTGTGTGCGCGCGTGCGCGCGCGCGCTTGTGCTTATGCTTTGTGTTTGTGTTTGGTGTGGTGTGTAAATAGAGACAGCTGAACTAGGCAGAGACAGCTTACCATTTGGTACATATGTTAGGCTGATATTAAGAAGTTCCTGAGAATCTTAAGTCTTAGAATTAAAGACTTTCCCAGTGGAAAAGCATTATAGAATCATCCAAGAGTCTTTGATATTCTGAACAATGGCCATCAGCCTGTTTTAACTATGTATTATGCATGTTTTAATCACAAACTAGAATCCCAAAATAGAGTACATTGTATATGTGCTTTTATACACAAACATAGATGTATATACTCACAACAGTTTTACAACACATTTATAATCACATGTACATACAAATATCAGAAACAAAAATTTTATGAAGCAGTACTTTCTATATTTCATGTAATATCTGTTGTTTCTGTTTAATTTGTTCAGGAATAAAATGCTGGTTACAACCTGGTAAATTGATTTTCTGATCCAGGGTTAAAATATTTTTATCTACCTTACCTTATCTCAGGTTTCCTTGACCATGTATATATCTTTCAAATAATAATTTACTTTTTTGCCATGAAGTTTTTGCCAAGATTGAGCCAATGTCTTAGAGGACTTGATAGTCTTATTCTGATTCTTCTGTCCATGTTCCTAGAGTTGTATTACCAGAAATAAACGAATATCTTAGTTGCTACAGCTATTTCACACAGCTATTTCAGTAACTCAAAACAGATGTCAGAGCCAGAGGTCTGACATTTAGTGGAAATGAGTTATTAAAAACTACCTCATGGTTTGTTTTACCCTGCTAGTTGATTTCCAACACAGGAAACACTTTTTGTAGAAAGAAATTGAAATTGTCATAAATATAGATGGTAAACAGATACTGTATGCCTTGAATTTACGTCTATGTTATTCCTTGCCATACTTGTGACTTAAACCTGGGCCCAAATGTATCTAAACCACAGCTTTCATTTCCAGAATGCTGAGAAGCACAAAGAAGCTAGGTCCCTTGTTTATAGACATTCAGCAAGTTAAATTAGGTCTCTGATATGATCTCAATGGTTTGGTTCAACTATTATCCAAATTAATAAAGAGAGCATGTTGATCCACTTAGTCCTAAGCTATGGCCATCTCTGGTTTGAATATGGGGCAATAGAAACTGCAGCACACCCAAGGTGTGGAAGTGTGAACATTTAACTTTATAATTTTATCTTTTCTCATTACTCTTTAGGTATAGCTTGTTGTTCAGAATTAGGTGCTCAGTGTACATTACCCAATTTCTGTCTGATCTATTTATCTATGATCTGCCCCTCTTTAAGTGTGTGTAAAGATTGAATTATAGTATAATACACATTATCATTTTACTTACTGAATCTCCTTTAGTATTGTATGGGAACACTACATGAGTTGAGCAAGCAATATATACAATTTAGAATTACACACTTAGCAATTTGTGTCCATGTGTCTCTGATCATTTAGTGATTTACAAATGTAGATTTCTGTATCCAAGTATGCACATTAATGAAAGAAATTCTTGTCTATTGATGTGGTATTTGACGTCCTAAAATGGGGTGCTCCTTTATACAGATTAATAAATAATATTGTACAAGACAAGCTTAGAGTGCATAAAACAATTAAGGAAATAGTCCTCTTTGAGGATTTCTTCCACCTCTGAAATTTCTTGCTTATTGCTCTGTTTTACAGAATTTTATTACTAATAGCTTATGGCATCTTTTTCCTTTTTATACTGCTGCTGCTCAAATAAGCTCACATATATTCTCCGAAATGCTCCCAAATTACCAACTTAGTGAACATTGTTGTAAAACCTTTTATCTTTTAATATTCAGATCTTCTTTGTTGGCTTTTTTATGGAGGAGAAATATTTAAAAAACAAGGCAAGGCTGAGAATATAGCTCATTACTATAGGACATGCTTAGCTTGATAGGGCCTGGGTTCAATTCCCAGATTATTTATAGATAGATAGATAGATAGATAGATAGATAGATAGATAGATAGATAGATAGATAGATAGATAGATAGATAGATAGATAGATAAAGAAAGTGAGCAGGGTCTGGATAAATAGCTCAGCAGTTAAGAGCATTTGCCTCCTTCCTGATAAAACCAGGTTTAATTCCCAGCACCCACAGGATGACTCACAACCATCTCTAATTCCAGTTTCAAAGGTATCTGGTGCCCTCTTCTGGACTCCATGAGCACCAGACAGGCATGTAGTGCACAGACACACATGCTAGGAAAATACCTGTACACATAAAATAATATATAATTTATTTTTAAATCAGACAGAAGCATAATATACCTCCACCCCTGCAAGCACTATTGTTTCTTATACAAGTCCACAAAGAGTATGGTAAATTATCCACTTACACTGAAGACCAGTAAGCTGCAATTTTGGGGCCCAGTCTGACCCCCTACTGTTTGTAGAAATGAAAGTTATTGGGACATAACCATGCCCATTTATTTACATGAAGTCTATGGTTGTCTTAAAAGTAGATTAGTTGTGACCAAGTTGAATAGTTACTACAATGATTGTGTGGCTTATAAACCCCGAAGTGTTTACTCTCTGGTCATTTCCAGAGAAAAGTTTTCATTGCCTTGCTTTGCACTTTTATTTTATGTCCATTCAGACTCATTACATGTACACAGCCACAAGCCTCAGGTTGGATCAACTTTCAGCTCAGAAAAGCTATGTACATGAATTACTTTATGCATTTCTATCTGAGCACCAGAGAGC